TCCAGTTGAAAACCTTTTTCATTAATTTTGTTAAACCATCCAACTGCATTACTAATCTTGCCTTCCATAACACATCCATTAATCAATGAATTAAAAGTAACAATATCTGAATACGTGCTTGGTTGTGCCTTGAAGTTCTCATGAGCAATCTTAGACTTCTTGTCAAAAACCTTGCACTTCTTGTGACCAATCTTTCATTGTAGACGCCCCTTTTACAACCTAGTCACACATGTTATAACATCTGGTTGAAAAACTACTTCACTACTATTGTTGAACCACCCAACTGCATTACTAATATTGCTTTCCATAACCAACCCGTTAATCAATGAATTAAAAGTAAAAATATTTAAACTATAGCTCCCCTTGAAAACCTCACCCATAACAACAAAATCAAAAGCAACTATTTTCAAGCTACAATAACAAAACAGGATCATTATATTTCTTTTCATCAATTTGCATTACTCCATTTTATTACTGTAAGCTTGTTTCGAAAAAGCTTTCATGATTGTAGTAATGTCCCTTGAAGCTAAGATATCAAGGAACCTAATACAAAAAAATAAAAATAAAAATGTTTCAAGCAACAGGCAATAAAACAAAAAAATAAATAAAATTCGCAAGAATGAATTACCACATTCTAGAAATTTCACTCGATACAAATAATAGTTAACCTTACTAAGTGCTATACCCCATTATAATCATCAAAGAATATGCTTAACTAGTTAACTACTGTTAAGGATGACAAAAATACCCGTAAAACCCGATACTAGTGAGTCCCAACCCCGATTGAGGCAGGGATTACCCGCTTAATTAGGTCAGGTACGGGACGGGGGACTCCGCCCGGAGGTAGGTACTTGAAACAGGGGCCTCGCCCTGCCCCCACTCCCATTTAATTTTTTAATAAAGAATTCAATACTTCAAATGAAAATTTTCATGCAATTTCATTGATTCTAATGGAAGATGGCAATTGAAATTTTAAAGGAATATGATAAACAATAAAAACCTTAGTTTACTAAATATATTTGAATAATTTAGGTTTTAAAAAATTAATTAAAAAATTAAAAAATTTAATAACTATATTATTAGGGACAATAAAATGAATTATTAAAAATTATAATTAAATAAAAAAACACTAAACGGGTACGTCAATGGGGCAACCGCCCTGCCCCTCCTTAAATGGGTAATGAGTGGGCACAGGACGGGGAAATGCTAGGTGGGCCCGTCTTGTTGCTAACCCTAACCACTGTAGTTCACTTAATTCAATTTACGTATTATACCATTTTGTGTATTAGCCCCCTACATTTACGGGGCACTTTTAAGTTTGGCCATGTTAAACAACCAATTTTCCACCTTAACCAAAAAAATTTGACATTCACCACAAAAGCCTATTCTTGTATAAAAGACAAAAATACCCTTAAAATGAGTTATACAATTACAAAAATAGAAATATGTTAAAAAGACATAAATATCCTTAAGTTACAAATTAAAATCTAAATACCTCTCAATTGAGATTTGAAAACGAAGTCACTCTTTTCATCAGTTTACTCTAACACGATAAAAACACTTTCATTTTTCATCCACTTCAACCTCAAAATTTCATAAACTTATCAGTTATCAACCTCAACAAAAATATTTCGTTAAATTTTAGCACTTTAATTCGGTAAGTATCTTTTTCTAGAGTTTAATTTTATTTTTATTGAAGTCGTATATTTTTTTTAAATGGTAGAGAAAATAATATTAGAACCAAAGTTCAGGTCGGCACTGATCTGACAGTGGAACTCCAAACAATTTGTAATGGACGAAGACAAAAATGTCTTCGTCTGTTAAGAACCGGACGTCCGTTACGGACGAATCGGACCGTCTGTAACAGACCTTCCCCCCTCTCCCCGGTTCTGGCGTCTAATCTAATTTGTTCTGATAATTCTTAATTCGTCTGTTACTCCGACGAATTTCAAAGGAAAGAAAATGGTCAATGGGAATGGAAATGGACGAGTGAAGGAGAAGGGGTTGCTCTATTTCGATAACAAAAAATATATCGTTTACGGAAATGTACAATGAAATACAAAACATACTTAACGTCGATTCCTTTCAGTACGATATCGAATTGAGATTTTTATTTCAAAAGTATTCAACAATTTTGATTCCACCTTTGAAAGTTACTTCTGAAGTGTAAATAAAGCATCTAATTTAAGTGAACCAAGGTCGAAAGACGATTCCTATTTGCATAACTTTGTTGAAGAAAAATGTCCCCGGGGGTGAACACGAAGTTTTCGATGGAGAGGATCGTAACAAGAATGATTTTTGGGATAGTGTTGAGATTGCTCGTGAGGATGATGTGGTTATTCCCCGGACAGTTGCTACTCACCATGATGTCACCGTTACATAAAGGATTTACGAGGATGTTCAAGACAACGAGGATGAAAGGCCATTTACAAATTAGGATTTGATTGCTTTATCCAGACAGAGACATGAGTCTGGTGAGAGGTCACATGCTGGGCCGAGTACACGGTCTTCTAATTGTTCGTGTGTAGTTCCTGATGATGAAGATTTACATGTCGATCAATTGTTTGACACGAAAAGAGATTTGCAAGAAGCCGTGCACCGAATTGCAATGAAACATAATTTTGAGTTTAAGGGAAAAAAATCAAACAAGTCTACATACACAATTATTTGTGTGGACAACAATTGCAGTTGGCGTTTGAAAGCGACAAAGATGGACACAAATGAGTTCTTTGTAGTTTGCAAGTATGCGCGGGAACATACTTGTGAAGTGGGTATTCGTCAAAATGATCACAGGCAAGCTCGATCATGATTTATTGGTCGAAAGATAATGCACAAGTTTCAGGATCCACGGACGATTTACAGACCTACAGATGTCATCAACGACATCCGTCGGGAGTATGGGGTGGTTATGAGTTACCAGAAGGCCTGAAAGGCTAAAGAATGTGCATTGGAAGATTTAATGGGTTTGACAGAGAAGCGTTATGCCAAATTAGCCATGTATTGCCACAACATGGTGAGAACTAATTTTGACTCGGCATTTTTTATTGAAACCGATGGGCAGAATCGCTTCAAGTTTTTTTTTATGGCTCTTGGACAATGCATTAGAGGTTTTCGAAATGCGATGCGACCTCTAATTCTAATTGATGGTACAGCCCTAAAAGCTAGATATGAAGGGAAGGTGATTATTGCTACATGTCAAAATGCCAACATCCAAATTTACCCTCTTGTATTTGGCATTGTCGATGGAGAGACTGATCTAAAAATGCATTGGTTCTTCACGAAGCTGAAAGAACTAATTGGGAACATCGAGAACCTTGCATTTGTGACTGACCGGGGGCAGTCAATAATAAATGGTATAGCTGAAATTTTTCCGGAAGCACATCATGGTTATTACATGTACCACATTCAGGGCAACTTGAAGACTAGTTATTGGAGCAATGACATCGTTGCATTGTTTAGGAGAGTTGTAGAAGCTTACAACTTTGAAGAGTTTACGAAGTTCGTGAGCGAAATAGAACATAAATCAGAAAGTGCATGAAAATATCTATCAGATATGGGGGTCGAACATTGGGCACGGTCACATTTTTCAGGACGTCGATACAAGATGATGACGTTGAATAATGCGGAGTCACTCAATGTATTATTCAAGAAGGATCGAGAGTTAACAATTTTCGTAATGATTGAACATATTCGTAGCAAGTTGCAATAGTGGTTTTATGACCGACGGGAGGAATCCCAAAATTGCACGAGTGTGCTAGCTCCGGCGCAAGAAGATCGACTATTCAAAACTCTGGAAGTGGCAAAAGCTCTATTTGTTGAACCACTAGATCAATTTCGCTTCTCCGTGAGATGCGGGCGTAATGTTGGATACATTGTAGACTTGAATGACAATACTTGCATATGTAGACAATTTCAGTTGGAGAGTTTTCCATGTGCGCATACTGTCGCAGTGGCTATGTATAAAGGATTTCCACTACATAGATTATGCAGTCATTATTACATGGTTGATTTTTGGAGAGCAGCGTATGCCGAAACTATATTACCTCTACCAAATGAAGCCGAATAGGAAGTTCCTGATTATATTGTAGCACTTAGTAATTTGTTACTACCTAAAGTTCCATCGCGTACTCCTGGTTGTAGACGGACGTCTAGAATACTATCTATAGGAAAGTTTCCACAACCACGTAGTGCGTGAGGTGCGGCGTTACAGGACATACACGTCGATTTTGTATAAGTCAGATCCCACTAAACAATGACTCGATGGATGTGTAGTATTTATATAAATCATATGTATTCTCTATTTGTAATATGCTTTTGATTTTCTCAATTTAAATCGGATGTAATCTTTATCACATTGTTTAATTACTCTTTTTAACAGCATATTAAAAATAGGATTGATTTAAATATTGCGATTTAATAATTGATATATTGTAGCAATTAAATATTTAATTGGTTATGTATAATTGGTTAAGTATTTCATTAATTAATTATATTAATTGGTTAAGTAAAAAATTAATTATTTCATATTTAATTACTTATTTCGATTATTTATTTGAATAAAAATAATAGCACTTACTTCGAGTTTTCATTTAAGTATTTCTTTCATTAATTATCTTCACTTGGTACGTATATTTGATTGTTTATATCATTTAAAATTATATTTCGTTAATTATCTTAATGTGTATATTGTTTATTTAATATTTGATTGCTTCATTTCGATTACTTATGTAAATTAAAATAATAATATTTTTTTCTTTTAATACAATTGAGGCAACGATATATATTAACTGACAATATGTAGAGATTACAGACACAACAGTAATATAAATTAAAATAATAATATTTTGTTAATTATCTTAGTACGTATATTAATTATTTCATATTTAATTACTTATTTCGATTATTTATTTGAATAAAAAAATAGCACTTACTACAAGTTTTCATTTAAGTATTTCTCTAATTAAATATTTAAAAAAGTTATTACATTACAACACGAATCATACTGAAGTAAGCAACATTTACATTTTAATAAAATAATATACAATGCACTAAGGATCACAATCACAAGCTAATTTATGCCTCCACGTATCAATCCAAGACTGATTTATTGTATCAACATTGCAACCAATGCTAAAAAATTCTATGTACTTTATTGCAAATAAGTCACAGTTGCCCCTGCAACCGAAGAAAAATATATTAGTTCGATAACATATAACTGAAAATTAAATCTTAAAATTAAAAAGTTTTAAATCCTTACGATCTTTCTTGTCTTGCCGTCGTCTCGTTCTGCACAATGACTAATTTGTCATTTGCTCGATCATCGCATGACTAGCCATCATGGGCACGATCACAGCTATTGGCTCCAATATTTGCTCCAGTTGACTTTGTGTCAGACAGCTATGATAAGAGTCGTACACATACATAGTGGAATTAGCAAATACGATCTCCATTGAAAAACAGTGTGAGTTCGCGATCACTGGAATGTACATACATGTACAATCCGTCCACGACTTTCCGCACCTCAGCTGTAGCCCGATCATCCATTCCAGCATGTACTCAGACAGAACATATTCATTCCTCTTGCTTAGGAGCTCGTGATGCTCAATATCTACCACACAAACTCAGAGTTTAGGATAACTCGACTAGGACTGTCATAAGATCTCGGGTATCTCTGAGCCCGATTGCGTAACAATTCCATAGCCAAGTTGATATGCTGAAACAAAAAAACACCAACAAAAAGATAGAGTCGTTTAAGTAAATGAACCAACAACTTCTATAAACATAATAAATGGAAACTCAAAAAACTTACATCATCGGCGAGTCAAGCTGAGGTCGTCAATACATTTTCGAACCACTTTTTAGCGTTGAGCACAATCATACTGTCGATGGTATAGCTATCTCAGAAAAATGAAAAAAAGTTACGAAAAAACAAAAAAAGAGTAGCAAAATAATAAAATACTTACTCGAACTTAAGGGATTTGAACCAATCACCGGGTCGACGTCACAAAAAAGATTGGGAAACGTCCCATCAACAAACCCTCTTCTCTTCGCCTCGATCGTGTATGGGGAGACGATGTACTGTGATGACAATCTCGATCTCTTACCGACCATCAGCTCTGGCGCGTCATTAGCACGCTTCTTACCCTTCGCACCTCCATCACCCCCTCCGACACAAATATTACATCGTCATCTGTCATCTCTGGCGTCTTCTCGCCCTCTGCAACCCCCTCTACTACCACCTCTGGTATCCCCTCCGCTACCTCCTCGATCACCCATTCCGACACCCCTGTCCCTTCCTCCATCCCCTCTATCTCGGCCTCCTCCTGCACCTCCACCTCGAAGTGCTGCAACTTCGGTATGAAGGTCTCCTATATCTCATCGCAGCACTCCAATCTCATCTCGTAGTGTTACTACCTCTATCGTAAAATCCCGTCGCAACAACCCTATCTCCTCTCGTAGTGCTACTACCTCTGTCGTAAAATCACGTCGCATCATTCCCAACTCCTCTCTAATAATACCAGTCATGCGTGCAAAGAAATCATCTGAATGACGGGTCTGACTGGGTGCAGGCGATCCACGTGAGAGATGGGTGGGTGCGCGAGATGGAGATCTCCTCGGAGAATGTGATAATGGCGGTAGAGGTGATCTCATCAGTGGAGGCGACGGAGATCTCATCGGTGGATGTGAAGGAAATCTCCTAAGTGAAAATGCTCGTCGTTCTACTGGATGACGCTCCTACACAGAGAAGACAATTAATATTAATAATTCACACATGAATATTATAAGTCAAAATAAATAATGATTTTAAATAAACATACTCTATTTCTATTCGGAACAGACTCAAACACTGGATCGTTTTCAGTAGGTGGAACATGTAATTCACGTACATATATTTGATCTTCTTCTTTCATCGAAACAACCAACTCAGCATGAACTTCGAGTTGACATATCATATTTCAACGTGTTAACGAGCATGTATCAAGCCGAATAAATGTACGTACAATATAAATTGCAAATATACAATACTCACCTGAGGATCGTTGAGGATAACTGTCAAATCTTAGCCGATGGCTTCTCATGTGCTCGCCAATGAAGCATTCGTGGGCAGTTAATCTCCCTTCTGATCGCCCATTTGCTACCCAAAGTAGGGATAACCTCATATGCCCACAACTGCCAAAAAAAAAAAACTTATCTATTTAATAAAAAAGTTTAACACGCATTACATTAAGTTGAATATTTACCTGCAAAGCCATGCAAAAGCCATATACATCATATTTGCGCTCGCCCATTTCCGATTTCGGCATAGTATGTACCCTTCTAAATACGTGAAGAGTATCGGTGTAACATCTCCGACCCCATGAAAAGCTGTTGAAAGCATCGATATCATCAACAACATCCAATGAAAAAAGGTCAATCGACGTCCTACGATGTCGACACCTCAATATACTCTCCAATATATACACCAAACCTAACTTCAACTTGTCTAACATGTGATCGCATCTCCTAAATGCGTCCTCTAACTGTGGTGGTGTAACCGGCCCTTTACCTCCAAAACATAAATTCAATAACCTTTTATTTGGTATAATACGAGTTCTCACTTCTTCTTCTCCAGTACATCTCAAACCTGTAATGAGGGCAAATTCAAGGATCGAGAATCTCGATACCTTCCCGTCCCCCATAGCAAAATAAAGCTGATCGTCATCGACTGGTTTAAGCAGCTGGAGTAATAAGGAATCAATAATCTGTCCAGAGAATTGCACGCCCTTCAATGGATAGAAGGACCATAAAAACGATCGATGGAGTATCTCGATGTGCTCCTCGTCCAGCCCTTCAATCACTGTCGCAAAGCTGAAAAAGTTACGATAAGTGGTAACTTTTCCCAAATGAGCTCTCAGATTGTTGTTCATTTGATATTCCATCCTACAAAAATAATACATGTTAAAATCATACACAAGAGATCATAAATAAAATATCGTATCTTCAAATTTAACCAATCAAATTTCATATTAATAAAACAATAAATAGATTCATTCAATCACATATTAAAACAGTTAAACAAAAAAATTTCCACATATTTGATTATTTAATATTTCTTTAAA